AGAGTCTGTGCACTTAACCACTACACCAAACTGGCTCATCCCAATGTCTGCTTCTAGGATCTATGTAGATTCTGTGACTTTGCAGTGCAGTATGTGTATTTATATTTGCTTCCTAGATCCTCATTTTTCTTGTTTTTCATATTGGTTAAAACATTAATCAGTCAGAGGGCCATAAATACTCTAACACTAAAAACACCATTACAACAGCTCCATCAGATTCTACTGCGTAGACATAGCTCTCCTACAACATTAGCCTCTCATATAACCAGACAATTTTGCACACACTTCAGTATGCCTAGTAAGAATGGGATGATTTGGGGCTTTCCAAAATACAAAAAGAATAAAGCTTGCTTATCAGTATTTCCCATACCAAACAGCCTCTAAAATTACACCCAAATAATAAGCTGTACTGCTAACCATCAAGGCAGTATTGTCTTTCATTTCACATATTCTCATGCACTAAAGAAGCCCTGCCTCTTGCAGGTACTATGGAACTTGGGGGGGGAGGAGATCAGAGGCAATAACAGCTTGTGGCAAATGTTTTCTGATTGAAGATTAAAGATTTTCTAGCAAATTAAAAACAGCCAATGCAACCGAAGAATGCAGAAGTTGATTGTTGACAAGTAACAGACAAAAAAACAAAATTCAAACCTTGGCATTTAAACAATTGGGGTTGGATCCCAGGAAATGTGTCTCCCATCATGCATTCCATTTAGAATTGCAACATCATCTTCTACTAATGAAAAATCAAAGACCTAAGGGGAATGCAGATGCAGTTAGTAGAATGCAGAATAAAGCACAGACCTGTCTGCTGGCTCTTTACAACTTTGACTGATGCCCCAACCTATTATTTCTGTTTAAGATTTTGTATTATGAGCTGATGTGGTATAATGGCTCGAGTCTTATCTGGATAAAGGTAAGCCAATTTCAGATTCCTGTGCTCTCAGAAAACCTGGAAGAGGTTTAACCATATGGCTCTGACACAACTTGATTGAGTCAACTGAATTGTTTAATTAAACTATTCCTTGTCTGGGTTGGTGTGATATGTTCTCTCCCACATATTTTTGTCTTTATAATATCATAATATCTTATCTATCTATCTATCTATCTATCTATCTATCTATCTATCTATCTATCTATCTTATCTATCTATCTATCTATCTATCTATCTATCTATCTATCTATCTATCTATCTATCTATCTATCTATATCTACCTATATCTATCTATCTATATCTATCTATCTATATCTATATCTCTCTCTCTATCTCTCTCTCTATCTCTCTCTCTATCTCTCTATCTATCATCTCTCTCTCTCTCTCTCTCTCTCTCTCTCTCTCTCTCTCTCTCTCTATCTATCTATCATCTATAATATATATAAATAAAGTGTTTTGTTTAACTGCAAGAATAGAGGCTAACATGAGCATTTTCCCCTCCGTTGGAATCTGAATTGATGAATCTTCCTCCTCCATAGCTTCAAAGATTGCCTACATCACCACTGATTCCGCAGGAAGATGTGCCGAAACAGAGTGAAAGAGGAAAGTTAAGAAAATTAAAAATGAAACAGATGCTTAACATGCTTGCTACACTTTTGAGACTACTTCATAAAATTAGCATCATGAGAAAGAATCATAATGAACTTTCACACACAAAGTTGATTCTGGGCCAAGGGGGATTCCCTGGCTGAGAGGTGAGGAACATTTCCTTCTTATTTACTGCTGGGGCAAAACAGAGACCCCCTCCTTGTAAATAGGCTGCCTGAGAAGCACACTGTTAGCTGCTGGAACTCACCAGTTGGCACGCAGAACTGTTAAAATCATTCCTGGAGGAGGACAGAAGCAGACTATAGGGAGGCCTCTTCCCTAGAGCTTTCTAAGATTAAACACACAGTCACAGAAGGAAGGGGGGGGGGAATGCAGAATAGATCTTACATGGTGAAAGGCCATTTCCTTGTCTGCCTACCTCCCCTGCTTGGGATCATGAGCTGGGAATTCCTGTAAAGTGAGTGCACGGATGCAGGCAGACCCCACATCAGACATGCAGTTTCTATTGCACCATGTGCAAATGGCATGTTCTTTAAAATATTCTCTGCTTCCTCAGTAATCTTGGCTACAATGAACCCAGCCCACCCTCCAAGACCACCTCTCTAGCATCCCTCCTGCAAAAGGGGAAGAAGAATTCAGGACAGTTTGAAAACTAGGACTGCAAGCACTAAGTGAGCTTATTACTAGATAATCAACTTAAAGTATGGGGGGGGGAAAAACACCCCCCTATAGTTTCCTCCCCACCCCAGCAACTGGTGCTTAAAGGTAACAGTGCCTGAAAAGATGGAAATTCCATACAACTATTATAGCTTACCATCACTAGTAGATAAGTCTTCCATTAACTTGCCTAATCCCTCTTTAAAACCATCTAAGCCAATGACTACGTCTTGTGGTAGGAAATGCCTGGTAAGTGTGGATAAAAATTGTAGGTAGCTATGCCAATCCAGAGAAAAAGATCAAAAACAAAAGTTGAGTTATGTATTTTATTACAACTGACCACACTGTCACAAAACAATGAGTGAGCTCTTGAGATCTTTAAAACTCTATAGTAGGTTGAATGCTTCCAAAATAGACAAAGACAGTAGGTTGGTGTCTTGGTCTTCGAGAATTCAACAAGCTTTTTTGTGTGTGGATATTTGGTTGGTCCTAATAACCAATATTATACAACTTTTATTTTTGGAATTTTTTGTCAACCAGCCTAGCTACCTACAATCTTTGTTTGTTTGGGGACATACTTAATTCAGCCATCAATTCGGTTTTGCTCGTGTACACCATCAGCTTCTTCTATCTCCCTCTGTACACAGTGCTTGGTGCAGAACTTCCTAATTTGATCAAACTCCAGTTCACCATGACATTCAAGTGCAAGGACCTCTGTAAAGTGGATGTTATTTGTTCCACACAAACTGGGCTTAAACCAAGATTTAGAATCCCTGAGTAATCTCCCTTATAAATAAAAGCTGAATGGTGGTGGCACTTCTCTAGAACATTCCACATGCTCCAAAATCAGTTCGCTCTCTGATCTGTCATTCAGAGGGTCTCCCTATCCACTGGCTGCTTTGCCTGAGTCCTGCCTCCAACATTCTAAACATTTTGCTGTTCCTCTCCCCCCCATAGCCAGTCAGAACACAGAGGTTATTTGCATATGCAGCCTCATTGGCCTCTGCCTCGGAACACAGAGGTCGTTTGCATATGCGACTTGATTGGCTTTTGCCTCTAACATTCTAAACAGTCTGCTGTTCTGAGGTAAAATCTCCAGGTGAGGACTGGAGATCACTCAAAATTACAACTGCTTTCCAGATGGTAGAGATCAGTTCCCCTGGAGAAAATGGTAGGCTCTGTATCCTTATATGCTGCTGAGGTGGCCCCCCGTATGACAGCCAATGTGACGTA